AAATGTGTTACATATAGATCAGAGACTCCTGTTAGTAATCTATTTCTTATATCAATACACCTCACTGAATGGACCCATTTTTATTACATTAAAGATATATTATTAACTTTTTGTTTAAAAAAAGTGAAGATATTAATGAGTTTCCAAAGTATTTAGAATTCATTTTATTCTTTAGCTACTCTTATACACACCCATCGAAACCTAAGTGCCCCACTTGGTCTGGGGTAGATTATTTGATAATTTTAATGTCAATCAAAAATACCATCAGCTGTGTTTATGTATACAATACAGTAGGACAACTTCTTTGAAGAAATCATTACCTAACCAACTGATCCATAAATTCAGGTAAAACTAACTAAATGCATATTTACCCAGGAGAGCATATCAGCAGGGGTTATTCTGCTCTATAGATAAGTACATATTCACCAGAGATAATAGAACATCAAGAATCATTCTGAGTCTTTAAGGTAACAAGTTACATTTTTCTTCTCACATTGCTTTTGTAATCAAAATTCACTTTCTGAAAAAAAGGACAAATGCTGCAATAACTTTTTGAGTGACTAATAAGTCTGGGTATTCAAATTTCAGTTAATTTTCAAGCTTTATGAAAAACAATTGTAAAATGATTTCTAAATTGTTAAGTGTCATAATCACCTCTGAATAACTAGGCACCTCTGCTAGCTTAAATTCAAATACTTCATTAGTACAATGGGTCATGTTTGTTCATTTAAATTTAAAAATAAAGTATAAAAAGTTACCAACACTTTTGACACAGTTATTGCTTTGCAACATTAGCAAATGTTTCCTTTTTAAAGACAGCATAACACGAAAGGAAAAGAGTTATACTAACTCATAAAGAGAAAACTAGCTGTAGTTAGTTAATATACTCTACCGTCTACAGTCAGAGGTAGAAAGGATACTTCCAAATGAAAGAGAAATTAGTCAACAAGCAAATACGGTAAAAAAAAAAAAACTCTGAAGGGAGAAAATTGAATTTGGTCAAATCAATCAACAAAAATGTAGAGAAAAATAACTAAAGTATAGTTATATTCTCAACCATAGCAATATTGAATAAAGCTTAGTATTTAGATTGTTTGAGAATGTTTGTCTATAACTAGCTATATTATCTCATTGTGGTATTTTATGTACAATTACTTCAAGTGCTCATATGTTATAGAGTATTAACAATATAAATGATGGTATGTAATGCATTTCCAAGCACAAAAATATACCTTTTTCTCATACCAGTTACATTCTATATCAATTGAAATTAAAAAATTAAAAGTATTTACAAGTGGCAATATTACAAGAATATATCCAATTAATCGAGAAATTTTCATGGTCAATGCGGGAATTGCCCCCTCTCATTTTCATCTTATATGGAGAAATAAAATCTTCTTGCCTCTCACTCACCCTGACACCCAAGACTACATTTGTCTACCTCAAAAGAAAGTGTAAAAATTTCAAGACTCAATCCCTTTTGTCCCCCATTCATGTTTTATAAAGCAAAAATCCAAAACTCTTCATAGTCCCTTATAGTTCCAACAATCTGTGATTCAAATAGGGGTAGTGGGTTCCTTTTTGTTTAGTGGTATCCTGGTCAGGGGAGGATTTTACTGTCCCTTTTCTATGGGGCCCTGTCACTTTACCTAAAAGGAAATGAATTGCAACAGGATGGCAGGGGTGCACAACAAAGCCATTTCGCTTTACAAATCTATTATGGCCTCCAATCTGTTTTATGGGCCTGGCCCTATTATAAACCAAGAAAAACCCTAAAACAAACATTCCTCTTCTTCTTTCTTTCCAATGAAATCATCTACAATTTTATGATGGTTTTTTAAACAATTTAGCCCCAGTTTTTCCCCGTATGGAGTTTTACCCCCCAGGACCTTGTCCATCCCACTTTCTCAAATATATAAAACGTTCAGAGATGAGGAACTGGACTTTTCAAATACAAACTGCTGACAACTGTTGGAGGCACTTTACTGGGACATTACTGACTGTAGCTTCAATGAATTCAGCTTGATTCACTGCGGGTGAATCATTTTCAATGCAGAGCTGTTCAATGGTAATTGGCCAAGAATCCCTGCTGTGAAAAGCACTTGTCAAATAATGCTTGTTTACAAATATATTTCCAGACAGTAAAAAAGTGGCAGTTACTGAACAAGTTCAGGGCCACCCCCAGTATTTGTAACAGTGGACATGCTCCTTTTACTTAACTGAATCTGTTAAAATTTTCACTTGTTGATCCATTTGGGTTTTCCTGTTCAGTTCTGCTTATTTACCTACCAAAGTTAACTTTTAAAAATGACTGGAATACTAATTGTGAACATAAACACATTTATTTCTTTCTGCCTTGAATTTTTGTCACATAATGGGAATATTATATTACATATGCAATGTATATACAGGGTGAGGCAAAAGCATGGGAAATTATAAAATAATTAATAAATAATAATGCAAGAATATATTCTGTTTCTCACACTCCCAACTGTCAACCTACTTTTGTCTTACCCTATATATACATCACTGTCTGAGAAATTGCTAAGCATTGATAGGTTGTAAAAAGCAAAGCATGTGAGAGCAAGTTATTAATGGATTCGGAGCTTTCACACATATTTCTTCTCCTAATATCCAGAGTCCCTCCAGAAATAAACAATCGAGAACAATCCTAGAAACTTCATTCTGAATCTTTAAATAAATACACTGACTGCAGTTATAAATACCTTAATATATTCTTATTCAACTTCAACATGGTTGTGGGGAAGCAAAAAGAAGAGAAGAATATAGATTTTACAAAACAGGAGATAAAGGTCTAGGATGACACTAATGGAAAGATGGAAAACTGTGTTGGGCAAGATGGGATGGAGAGATTATACCTATTAATAAGGTTTTATTTTTCAGTTACATGAAATAGTATGACACATTACAAAGTGTGCTCCAAACGACAGACATGTCTTTGTCTTCAGTGTCCTGGGAGGACTGGGTGGAAAGTAGCATTCATTTTTGGTGAGGTCCCTGCAACCTCCTGGCTCTGTAGCCCAAGTCCTGCTGTGCTCCACTGGCTGGTGTAAGGACAACACAACCCGTGGGCGTTAAGTTTATACAATTAGCCTGTCTACCTTCCACAAGATTGAGCTTCCCTCCATTTCTGTCCGCCTCTGCCTCCTCCCCACACAGTCTTGGCAGAGGTGGCCACTCAGCAGTATCCTTTCCGGGACTTCACTTCTTCCCCTTCTCTGATCAAGAGCTTCTGCTCCTTTTCATGTCTACATACTCCCCTCCCCCCATAAGACCTGGAAAAGAATATCTAATGGAACATGAGCGAATGCGTAGTACTATTACTCTTTAAATCCAAACCAGGGTGCCCCTTTTGGTGGAATAAGACATTTAATAAAAGGACTCTTAACCCCGTTATAATCCCTGGGCTTCTAATGTAGTGAATCCAACAGGGGGACGTTAATAAATTCACTAAGACTTCAGATAACACTTTTCCAACTTTATGGGGGAAGGGAAAAATGAAGCTTGCTTGGATTAAGCACTGGAGATTGAAGACAGATAGATCGAACTACACACAACCCTTAAATCAAATTTAAAAAGATAGAAATTAAAGAGAGAATTTCCTGCGGTAGATGGAGTAGGGTGGCCGGTCTCCATCTGCCCTGCTTTCCTAAGGTTCCCGGGGAGCTAGCTCACAGGGCTCCGATACCAGCTCAGCGCTTTCTCCTGCAGCCAAGACAAAACCCATGCGAGTCAGGAGGACACACAGGACTCCGCGGCTTCATTTTTCAGGTCCAGTGTCCCCTGCCCTAGGGGTGGAAGGAAATTTTTAAGGGTCTGTACCTCACTCGCGGCATCTGGAAACCCAAATCGAAATCCCAGCCCTCCGGTTAGGGGATACGGTTTTTGATGTTTTTGTGGCGGAACTGACATCTTCTTGAGCTTTGGTCAGGATCTGAGGTGCTGCCCCCAGCTATAGAGGAACGCGCTCCGGAGCTGAGACCCGAGCGCAGAGCGCAGTCCGGGTGAGAGGCTGGAGCTCCGTCGGAGGGGCCTCCGAGGCCCTGGGTTGCGCGCCCGGCGGCGGCGGGTCAAGGAGCTGCGCACAGCTCTGGGAGCACAGGGCTCTGCACAGGTGCTGCTCCCACGGCCGGCCCTAGTCTCCCAGTGGCAAGCAGGGACAGTTTTCTGGGTCCGGGGCGTAGGGAGGAGCGCTGGGGACTGACTGCTGCATTTGGTGCCGGGCCACCCCCGGACTTTTCCCTTACCAAAAACACCGACACAAGGCCCCTTGGGGTCCGACTGCAACTTCCTGGCCGCGACACTCCCCCACTCCCCTCCTACTCCCCTTGCATTTCGCCTCTCCCTCTTCCACTTTTGCCTTAGTAGTAGGTAGGCTCACGAGAGCCCAAAGTGAAAGGCATCCTACAGTGTAGGGCGCCTTCCCCCTCCCTCGGGAAATAAGAGCTCTAGCCATCCACCCCAGAATAGCAGCTGGTGATGCCCTAAATAACAGCTCCCAGAAGGCACTTTCCCTCCAAATAAAAGCGCCCAGCCACCCCCACAACGTTTCCCATCACCAGCCTCAAATAACGGTTTCCAAAAGCCCCATTGCTCCGGAGATCCCCGTCTCTGTGCTTCAAACAGTTTCCACTCCTCCGAGCCCGAAATGGCACTCCCCCAGGCGCTTCCTGTGAGCCCCAGCCGCACCCAACCTCCTAGCAAGGGTCTCGGACGCCTCTCGACCCCCGGCTTCCAACTTCCCAGCCCCCAGCCATTCTGAGCCCCGGCAGGTTGCTCGTCCAGCACTCCCGCAGCTGCTGTCAAACAATACGATCAGAGAGCAGACCCTGAGCCAAGGGCTAGCGAAAGCTGAGGGCACACGTTAGTTCCAGACCAAGAGGGAGAGGTCTCCCGAGGCCCCAGCGTCCAGCGCGCCCCGACCGGCACTTCCAGGCCCCGCCTTGCCCCTCCGCCCCCCGGCCACCCCGCCGCTCTACCTTCGTTGCTGGGACTGGCCCGCAGGGTCCGGAGCGCGGCGCACAGGAGAAGGCACGTCCAGAGTGGGGCCCTGCGAGGTACGGAGTAGCAGCCGGCCACAGACGCAGCGGTGCTGGGGGCGCCGCCGCTGCCGCCCGGGGGCCGCCGGCGTCCCGCACCCCGGGGCCCCGAGCCCCGCATCTTCTCCTGGCCTCCGCCGCCGCCGCTGTCCCGCGCGGCTCAGTCCACGGCTCCGGCCTCGCCGAAGGGGCGAAAGGCTCGAGGCTCCTCCCGGTTCCCCGTGGGGTCTTCGCCTTCTGGCGCGCGGCTCCTGCAAAGGCGGGGGACCACGGATTCTCTGATCGGGCTCAAGTTTGCTTCTGGCACCTCTCTCCCTCCTTCCCAGTGGGTGAAATGAAATGCTGGTTATCGTCGGTAATGCGGTTCTCGAATGGCCCCAAGTGTGTGGAGAAGGTCCCGCGTCCGATCCTTTACCTCCTAAGAATTTTAAGGATTGAGATCTCTTTACTATCCCTGGGGGGGAAGATAAAGGCTCCTTTGAAGTCTTCAGGGCTGAAGTGGAAGAGGGTGAGGCAGACAAGTCATCGTAAGAAGAAATCCCCAATAAAAACAGGGGGAGAAAAGCAGGGTGGCTAAGGATACAGGGAGAGGAGTTGAGAAAACCCAGGGTGGGGAAACTGCGCGAGTCGAGCGAAGCAGAGGCAGAGTTCCGAGAGGCTGGCCGCGGGAAATAGCCGCGGGCCGAGCGCGGACGAGGGGCGGGCGGGCAGGAGCGCGGCTCCCGCGGCCCGGGAGCAGGCGGTGCGGGCGCGGCTGGAAGGCGAGGTGCGAACTGCACCGGCTGCGCGCGCTCCCGCTGCGTCTGGAGCCCCGCCGCCGCCGCGGCCGCACCTCCCACCCGCTCCCGCCGCCTCCTCCCAGCTCCCCCGCCCTCTGCTCCGGCAGCCTCGCCAGTGAGAATCGACTGTAAGTGTGAGCTGCTAGGACGAAGTCACACAGGCGCGCAGGGAAGCGATCTGGATGCTGCCGTGGTGAGTGTTGCCTAGCGGTCTCCGGAAAGGCGCGTCTCCCTCCCCAGATAATTAGGGCGAAGAGTCCTCGTGACGACGCCAGCGCGGACCCGGGCTCCCGGGAGGCGGAAGGGAAACCAGCCCCAGCTCAGCCCGCAGCCCCTGGAGAAGCGGGTTCCTGGGTTTGGCACGGTGCCTGCTGCCCTGCACGGGCTTGTGGCATCGACAGACCTGTCGTCACAGAGCCACGCATTCGCAGGCTCTCTGGTGGATGACTAGTTTCTTAAACACCCATATCGCTCACGGCTGCTGACCTCTTCTATTCTTCCAATTCGTTGGCGCCTTGAATGGGACCATCAGTCAACATTTCCTGCAGAAGTAAATGGTAGAATTTGTAAATATAGAATCCAAGATTTGTGGCTTATTGAGATTTGCAGTGTGCAGGGCACTTGGAGATATGGTGACTTGATTCATTAATTTCATTGATAGAATATCAATGCTAGAATTACATGATATGCAGATATATGTCATTAACTCCAGTAAAAATTGGCAAGGGTGAAGTAATTTCAGTTCTTTCAAATAACGATTTCATTTTCTTGTGTTCCGCTGCACTGAGAGACTTACAAACAATTAAGGAAAAAAATGCAACAATTAACTTTATGTTTCATCTCTATATGTCTATTCTTGCTTTAATATTTTTGTCAATTTTGCGCTTATCCTCCCAAAAAGATACCTCTTAAGGGCTATTTTAGTATACAGCCATAAACAAAAGAAAAAAGAAAAGGAAAGGACTGCAAAGTATCTAAAAAAAAAAACTGTGACTTTAAATGAAAGGTATTTTGTTTAATTTGGTGTGTAATAACTACTGGAAAGATTGGGTTTGTGTTCACACATAATAAATGAAAATCTTCTCACCAGCTTTGGCATCTAAATTCTTGTTTATCTGCCCAAGAAATTTCTCATAATCTTTAGCTGACAGCATTTGCTTTTTTGTTTAAATATTTGCAATCAAGATGAAAGAATGCAGCAACAGAAATGTTATTTTATAAATAGGTAGAAGCTCATCTTTGACTGTTTTAACTGGGATGTTTTTGCACCAAAAATCTAAAAGCTGTTTCTATTATAATGTGTCACAAATGCATAAAGCAGATGTAAAGGAATAGCAGTGAATCAACTTTTCAGTTTGGCAAAAATCCTCGCAGTGAGATACAAAGTTAAATTAATGTTTCTATTTGAAAAGTGTTCAAAAAGCAAGCCCCTCCTCCTAGATTTATAGATAGGTTATTTAAAAAGTATTTAAACAGAATATTAAGTAAGTTATTTAGGCCTAGGAATATACGATAATGCTAATATGAGACACGAGCAAGGTAACGGGGCTTTCAGCTAGTTCCTTTGTTTCTATAGTCCTCAGTATCCTCACCAGTAAAATGAGGGGTTGGGAGATGTCTTCAAGCTTTCAAGTTATCTCTAATTGGTTACTTTTGACTACAAAATTACCAAATTTCTTCAGCATAGCATTTAGTGCCTTTTACTGAAAAGGACTTACTTTCTATTTTACTTTACACTAACTAAAAATTTAAAGCCAATGTCCCCTAAATTGCCTGCACCTCTCTGTTTTTACTCTATTCTATAGAAGTTCCATTCCCTAAAAATTTTAATATCCCCCCATGCACACACACACACACACACACACACACACTCACCTCTATTATCTAAATCCCACCCAGTGTCCAAGGAGAGTCAGGCATTCAAGACCCATCTTTTCCCCAAAGATGATGATTTGGTTCTCCGCAGAGTATCTCATGATTTATATCCACCAAAAAACTGGCAATTTTTTTTCTGAATGAAAATCTGGAATGAATTATCTAACAATTTTAAGTACATGTATTGGAATAAAGAGATAGAGTTTAACCTGGGAATATAAAAGAAAACTGGGGACACTGGTCATTATGGTGAATAATTGTGTGATCTCCTAACACAAGGTAGCTCTTAATCATGAAGTGACTGAGAATACTTAATATCCTTTGCATTCTCCATCTAAAATAGCTGCCATATTTCTCATTATTGTTTAATAATTATTACCCATTTTTGAAAGAATAAACCACTGTAAAATGAAGCCCAGATGATGGCATGGAAGTCTTTTTTTTTCTTTTGGTCTAATGAGTGTTCATCAGAGGGGGTCCTGGGGGTGGTTCGGCTTGAGCCTCCATCTCAAAGAAGATGCCATATTTAACCACACATTGGTTACTTGGCTTGTAAACACTCTTAGCATACTTCCATTGGACCATGGCATTATGTGAAAGGAGATTTTTTTCCCTCATTCATACTTACTTTGCACAAGAAAAGACCGCAACATCACTACTGGTTTGGATGCCATGTTTGAATTTCTCACTGTGTGGGATGACTGTCTCAGACTCAAAATGTGACAGAGGTTGGTGTTGCCCTAGACTTTTCTCGGGATCTGGCTGTCGTACTAAACTTTTGTGAATAAAAGATATTCAGAATCACCTTGATAAGAAAACTTGAAAGCTTATTGCCCTATAAAAGTGTTACAATTAAGTTCAGTTTTAAATAAGCCTGATAATATCTTCACTGCATTCAAAATAGAACAACAAAAGCAATTACAGTAAGTAGACTTGCTAGTGTTAACTAAAGTTTTGTCATGTGTGAGGCATTATGTGATGTTTTACACCAACTATTTTATGCTGACACTTCAACCACGATGTCAGTATACCTACTAACCCCATGTTAATGATGAGAATACCAAGCAAATGAGGTTGGATGACCTGAGTAGTCTCAAAGCTGGTAAGACATGGGGATGTAAATTCATGGTACTAACTCTATCTGAGAGTACTGTAATGTAACAGAAATAAAGAACAAATAACCAGATGTTCAGAAAATGAAAAAGAGGATTAATCTAAACTTCTGCACAATGAAATAATCAACAAATAAAAATATTCCTATATTTAGGTTCATTTAAGTCTGAAAGCAGTTAGCCACCTTATAATGTGCAGGCCAAAGTACTGAATAGGAAAAAACAAGAAATGAAGGACCCTAAAAAAGCATTACCTGGGAAAAAGACCATCTCATGTACACAAAAACTTATACACAGTTATCTGTATACAATGAAGAAAATGGACCAAATCAAGAAAATAACAAGGCTGAGGTATATGGACAGGTAATATTAGCACAAACAGCCCATGTAAACCAAGGAAGAAAACATTAACAACAGCCTTTATAAAACTAAATATAATTCCATAAACCAAACATTTTTCCTAAAATATTAGATAATCTGAGCATGTTTTTACATAATTTTAAATGTTCATGTAACTTAGTTACATTTTTCCTTGGAAGAATTTTAGGGAAAAATCAAAATAAAATCTTAATGCATAGTAGAGTTTAGATATGAAATTATAAGATGCCCTATTGAAACTGAGATACTTTAATAAAGTTAATTTTCCAGGTCCATGATTTGCTGAAAAAGATAGCTATATCGTGATGTTAATTATTTTGATCCCAAAGGTAAAGGCGGAATAAAATATGTTTAAACAATCAATAGTTCACAATAGTACTCAAGTTCACAACCAAGATAATTCTATTTATTATTTTGTATTTTGCATTTTGATTTAATTACATAAAACAAAATATTTTAAATTTTGTTATCATCATTTTGCCTTTTTAGAACTTTTTTGAAATCTGAGAATTTTATTTTTTACCTATTAATGTTAAATTTAATTTTATTTAAATTTGCTTGATTATAAAATGGAGATTTAATTTAAAATAATGGACTAAAAGCACTTTAATATATTAATGAGGGTTTAAACATACAAATTATTTCATTACTTAACAATACATAAATGCATTAGTCATCAAAAACCTCACTTATTAAACATGTTCATACCATATTCACACGTATGTTTTTCTTTTCTATGAATATTGAGAACAAAATAATCCTGTATTTGTCATGAGTGTGAGTAGAGAGTTATGTAACAAAGAATAAAGAACTAGACGTTCAGATGAATCAGAGTGAGCCAAAGAACTGCAGATTCTCATTATTGGTGGTGGTGGCTGGTCTATTCTCTAATCACTCCTGTGTCGATGTGCTAGGATCGCCAACACTGCAGCAGAGGCAGAGGCCAAGTCCGCTGGAATTGATGAGGAGCCAGGTGGTCCTGCCAGGAAGTTCTTTGGTTGTTGTTTGCCTCCAGCATCTTGGACGACTGGCACCAGATGAAGATGTGAACGTCGAAATAATGAGGACTCTAAAGGCCGAAGAAGAAAGAAAAGTTTGTGCAGAAGAGTCACAAGACTGAAGTGATACACTGTGGAAGTGACCCACTACACATAAAATTCATTTATTCTAAACCATGTTCTGGATTCCAGAAGTGTTCACCAGTGGGTGAAAAAATAAGCTGTAATGCTTTTCATATCCAAAGGAAGGTTTTTACTAAATCCAGTGAACTGATTAAAAATTCACAAATAATGAGTCCTACGAGAACTTAGTTTATAATATAATTAGCTGTAGTTTGCTAGGAGAAAAACTGATACATTTGTTCAATGGCACAAATGAAAAAAGGGTACATATGTAGGCAGGTTTTTGTTAGTTGTCTACTTAACAGGTTTCTGGGAAAAAGTAACAATGATAATTTCGTGCACTCTTATACTCGGTGGGAAGTGAAGCTGGAACATGTT